GGTAAATTCCGAAAAGGAAAATAAATGAACATAAAGTTTACCGAAAATTTCCGGAAGTATGGTATTTAGCCAGCCGACTAAAACCTTACGGCTTAAATCACTATGATCAACGACATGCATAACATGTCACACATTCCGGTCTTGCGTCCATAGACAAGTTATCTCAATACATTACGCGTAAACAATTTAGACAAACTCGTACCCGCTTTAACCGACCCCATATTTTGGGACGGACAGAAAAATTTAAATGATCGGGTCATATACCATCACTGATCTGACTCTAAAAAAGAGCCCAAGAAATTTAAAATTTCATAATAAAGTAGACTTTTAATATTAAGTTTGTAAACAATAAATATGTTAGGAAAATCTTTCATCAGTCTTTATTATTCCTTTTTCCAATAGTGAATTCCATTCTTGAGAATACCATATTTAATAAAAATCCACATAAAATAAAGGTGGTGGCTATTAATGGTTTCCTTAGCAATTCTAGAGAATTGTATTCATAAGAAACCTGAAAATTTTTTGAATGTTCATCGACTGCGTTAAATTTATCTAAAACAACAAGATAACGCCCTTTACTGTCAAAATACGTTCTATGCACTCCATGAGTTTCTCTATTTATTGGAAATGGCGCTTCCACTTTAACATTGCTATAATAAATAAACGAAAATGTCAGAAATTCGAAGAAAAAAAAATATATATTTTTTTATTGACATTTATTGTTACCTTGCTCCTTCGGGTAGAATGATTCTAACTTGTGCATGATCAAAAGCCGCGTTATGTAACGGGTTAACGAAGGGTATATTCAAAATGTATCGTCCACTCTTATGGTACCTTAAAAAATCTCCAAGAGGAACATTATATCCATAATACCATGTGTAGTTCCAACCGCCAAAAAGTGGGTATCTCGGTCTAAATTCTAAAACTGTTGTGTCTCGTTCGTTTCTCAATCGTGAAGTTGATACATTGCCAATCTCGTCTCTATAATATACATCCGACGCGTGAACTGGTAAATTTATTGAGAAATCACGAGCCATAGTAGTTTCGTGATGAATATATTGTGTTTGTTGATATTCCAAACGTGAGAACTGACCCTTCAACCTTCATATATAAATTGCATTTGTTAGGGTTTGTATTGTTGTGAATTTACATAGCTGAGTTTGAAAATAGCTTACTTTGCTCCATCATGCGTCAAATTGAAATGTTCCTCAACTGCCAAATTTCCGCCCCAATGACTAATTTCTAAATCACGCCTTAAACCTTTAACAGTCAAAATTGGCTGTTGGAATTCATAGTGTACTGAGAGCTCGTCGAACGCACTAGGCTCCTGGTTGTTGAATGTTCCATAGGTGATAATGTTGGCACTACGACTCACGGAGCCAGATTTCTGCGTATATCCTATTATATTGTAGGTAGGCAATCTGCCATTTGTTTTCAAGATTATATAGGAATTAATGTGTCATTTTGACAGGTTATAGAAAATATAATCACTAACTTGACATTGGTCTTCTGCTTTTCCGTATAATATGCACTGTTCCCGTAAATATTTCCACGATATATCAAGTTTTGTCTTCCAGTTTGAGCAATTTCAAATGGGTAAGGGGTCAACACATGAATGTAAGCTGTTTTTACGATGAATAAAACCTTCTCTTGTGGATCAATGCGATGATCAAAGTAAATTTTGTAGTATTGGGTTTGGCTGCAATTATTTTGTTAAAGTTTGATAAAGCATTTGATAAGAAGAATATATATTTTTTTTTTAATTTTGAGCCTTACGCAATAAACTTTATTTGAAATTATATAGTCAACATGTCCACAGTTCGCGGTAAGAAAAGATTAGATACCCACTTTACAGAAACGGATCCAACTTTTTCAACCTCAAAAAGCTTGTCAGTTTTTTTTTCCTTGACTTCAATATATGCTAAATTCTCAGCCAAACCACCTGGAATAGGAAAGTAATATTCTCCTACTGGTTCAGTGTGGACATTTTGCGAAGCGATTGCGGTGGACTCCCGAACGACATACGAAGAGAGGTCTATCGTACGAACCATATTTGTATTACGCCAATACTGATGAACATGAGGCGGTGCATCGGCTGTAACCAAGGTATTGTATATAATGCAAACACCCAGCGTTATCAAGGCCAAATTATACCAAGATCGCATTTTGCGTTATAACGATAATGAGTGAAAAAAGTTCAAAATTATAACATTCCAACCAAATGTTGCCACGAATTAAAAAGAGGTGCCGAAAATTTTTGTCGATCAATGCAGAAATTAGATTTTGTACTACTCCCGGTGTTACAGTACTATCGTTGCAAGGTAATTACTTATTACGTAAAAAGTTAAATCATGGAGAGCAATATCTAGAACCTCATATATAATAACTTTTGAAATTTTTATTTTTGATAATTTTATTACCACTAGGCTAATGCGTAGCAATGTAAGGTCTGGAGCTAAATATTTAAGAGCAAATATTTGTACCCGCCAGTCAAAAATTTCGATCGATTTAGGCAAAAATTTCGATAATATTTGTCTTGAGCCAATACAGTTAGGGAATATACCATATTTGGGGTCCTTAAAGCGGGCATATCACGTGATATACCGTTTTCATTAACTTTAGGGTTAGCGCCCACCTTTGGTTAGGGTTAAGTGTTATGGTAGTTTCTATAGGTAAAATTACCGTACGCCACTGACTATAGTACCCCTGTCATAATACCCCTCATGAAAAAGACCGGATACTATTCATGGGTTCGTGATTCAGAAAATTTGAATAAGACCCGGGTATTATTCTAACTATATACTGTATATATATATTTAGATTTGAAGTTCTTATTAAATAATATTGAAGCTATGTAAAGCAGTGTTGGCCAATTGTATGTCATATAAATTTTTTTAAATCTAATATATAATATGCAGTTGTGTATAAACACTATGAGATAAACACTATGAGACAAAAATCGTCTCCTATTGGCTGCTAACCATGTGGATGTTGATTGTGACATCTTTTATCCATATTTATACTATACTGCTATGGCAATTTATATTATTGCATGCTTCTTATTTAACAACCCATGCCACAGTGCAATTAGTTTTATTACTATGCTTTCGCTTACATGTAATATAACTTACTTTTTTAACCATTTTATTTTTTAACACTTAGAAATAATATAAACTTTTTTTTATCTGGTTTATTTCTATTTTGCTTATAATAAACTAAAAAATCAAAGTAAAAAATTTTATATGTTTATATTTATTTAGATATTGAAAAATTTTATAATTTAAGAATTAAAGATTATCTATCTGAAACAGATAGTTTAGAATTATTCAATTTACTTGAAGTTACAGCAATTGAATCAGTATAGAAAACTTGCTAACTTCTAAGTGTTTAATAATTTTTTAACTGTTTGCCATGAAGGTGGTTTGTAAATATCATTTCCAAAATTTTTTAAATATAAATTTTGTCTTTGACAAGAAATTAATCGAAATGCATCTTGCTAAAGAATAAGAATAGGAATCAAAATTTAATTCAATTTTTTAAAAATGTATTTTTAAGAAGAAAAATAATTAGAAATGAATAAATGCCTTTATTTAAATAAAAATAAATCTTACCAAAGAATAGAAATTAAAGAAATGAATAACGACTTCATTTGAATAAAAATTGATCTTGCCAAAGAATAAGAATTGAAATTTTACACTATTTTTTAAAACCAAATTTTTGTCAATACAAAATTAGAAATGAATAAAGGTTTCATTTAAAAGAAAATAAATTGTACCAAAGAATAGGAATTAAAATTTACAAGCAACAATTAATTGAAATAATAATCTGATTCGAATAATAAAAGAAAGTTTGGTTAAACATTTGTTACTGAATCTTATTATTCCTGAAATCTATGACTTAGGGTGCTCTCAAGCATCTTTCTGAGTGTGATTAGATAGTGATTAAGATGATGCACAATTATTACAATCAATGAATATAAAGATTGTAATCAATGATTGAGTGAGCTCTTTTAATATTACGATTATTATGTCTCCAACAAACAAAAAAAAAGCAACCATTTAACAAACAAAAAAAAAATATTACCATTACTAGCAACTTTACATATATCTGTTCCAACTACTTCAAGTGTTTCTGCTACTTCTTTAGCAATTCCAAATAGTTCTATTGTCTCTTTGCCTAATTACAATACTCCTGTTGCTCCTTTTATGAATTTACATATGCTGTTACAACAATATTATTCTTCTGCACCACTATTTAATCCCTTAGTTTTAAATAAACTAATATATATATATTATATATAAGATTTTTCAAAATATATTCGTTGTGAAATAGTTGAAAAGAGCAGCCTTCTGTGGGTCAAATTCTCAAACAATTTCAAAAGTATAGCTGTGTTGATGAATTATTTTCACTTTAAATAAACATTCTATATACTTTTAATTTATTATAATTATTAAGACATCATTAGCAAATATTAATAAAATCTTGATCTCTGATTTCAACTTGTGTTACATTTTTTTCGAACCAGTTGACAACCCTAATCATATTTAAACTTTTTTTTATTAGTGCCTACTCAAGTAATATAGAGTGTTACGTATTAAAAAGTCAAATTTACAAAATTTTCTTTGATTTTTGTATTGTACTTAATAAACAAGTTTTTATACTATAAGTTACAAGATAATTATATAATAAAAAGATTCACAAAATGAAATTGAAGTATAAAACTTTGTTTTTATTTATAGATCATTTAAATTTTAAGTTGTTATATATTTATTAAGAAAATCCAACTTATGTTTAAAACTTTTTTAGTGAAGATCTATTAATTAACAAGACAGTTTTAATAAAAAAAAATTTAATTGAGTTGACATTGCAAATGTAATAATATTGATTAAACAATATTCTGTAATAGTAACTAATACCAAAATTAATAACTTATTGAATTCAGCTTCAGCGAATATCAAAATATACATTTAAAAGTTTAATAAAATAAATAAATTTAGTTATATAAATAGTCTTATATATAATATATTTAAATATATAATACTATTTATAAACTTCAGTAGCAACGCCACAGGTCAAACACTAGTAATTATAATAATATATAGTAGTTGTTAAATTATAAATCATATGATTAAAATTATATAATATATAATTACTTGTTATATGATCAATATAACTATAATTTTATTATAATATGATTAATAGTCATATGATCTATATATATATTTGAACAATCTTAAAAGAAAAATGTATTACTCTTGATCTTTTAATATAAAAATATTTAATATTTAATATCATTTATATGGTAATACACAGCAACATATACATGGATTCTATGTATATATATACAATTTATTATGTATTATATTAGACTAAAATTTGTTTAATTTTAAATATTAAAAACTTTGAAATCTCTAAATTATTATATATAAAAAAACCTGTCATCATATATATACAGTTAGTTATTTATGAAAAATTTGTCAAGATGATAGACTTTCTATAAATAGCTAACTGTATATATTGGATAACAGGTTTTTTAGCACTTATAATACATTTATCTATTACTAATTTATTTTAACACATCTTAATAAAATACTTAATCCAGAAATATTTGGTTAGCATAGCCAAAAATCAGTATATATATTAGTGTTATAGTAAATTTGATAATAATTAAATACATTATTTTTGTATAGTAGAAAGATTGTGATCTTGTTTGTTAACTTCATTTTTCTATATTCTATTAAATTGAATACTGAGTATGAATTTATATAATCAGTTGATTAATAAATAAAGTAGGAATATGAAATAAAGAACAAGAGTAAAGAGTTATGATAATTTGATTACCTTCAATAATTTTACTTAATTCTTAATAAACACTTATTCACATAACATGTTATACCAAAAGCTAATTTAGCTATTAAGCTACTTGCATAAAAAACGAAAGCAAAAAACAATACTCTTAATATCAATTATTAAATATTCTTATCTTTTGTATTACAAATTATACTGTATGTATAAAAATACAACCTTTTATATTAGCTTATTACTAGTTTAATAATATTTATTAGAATTATTAATATTATACTTGTATAATGATAATACAAAATAATGATATTAAATAGTATTTAATATTATTATTGGGCTTAAAATCTAGCAATAATGAGAAAATTATTATAATTAGCTATAATAAAATAAATAATTGTATATTAATATATATTAATAATCTTGTAAACTTTTTTTAAAAGTTTTTCAAAAAGGTAAAAAATTGAATAAAATAATTAAGAAATATATAAAATAATAAAATACCTTTTACAATTTTTTTTATGATAAAAATATAATGAGATTAAATTTTTTTATAATTATATAAAAAGCAAATATATATTTTGTTATAAATTTTAAACTTGATAAATTAATTAATTATAAAAAATAAAAAACCTCATGTATTTTAACAATTAATAAATTATAAAAAATAAAAAATCTCACATATTTCAATAATATTTTGTATTAATTTCAAATCCTAATAATGCTACAAATGCTCTTGTAGTTGGTGTATAAAAAAATATGGCACATTAGAAGCAACTTGGGTTAAACCAAAATATATTACTTCAAATCAAGCAAATTTATGCCAAAATCATTTATCAAAATGTACAAATTTTAAAGAATTTGTATTTTCTGAAGAAATACAACATATTTTAAGTTTACCTGTTTTTGAAGATAACAAAAACAAATAAAAAAGTAAATTATTTAATTTAATAATATATATAATAAAATAAAAAATTAGTTAATAATAATTATAAATAACAATTAGATAATACTTCAGATATGGATAATGATACTAGTAGTTCAAGTTATGTTAGACCTTTTAATAATTAACTATAACAAACAATCTTCGTCAATTAATTACATATAATGATAAACTTCAATTTGAACATCTTGTATTAAGAATAGTTGTGTCAAACAGATTATGAATCTATTTTAAAAAGGATTTTATAATTTATTGCAGGGTGTAATACATTGCACCCCTATAATAAAAGTTAGTATTAGGGTTAGTATTAGGGTTAGTGTTAGAATTAGTATTAAAGTTAGAGTTAGAGTTAAGTAAAATTGCGAGATGAGTATTTTTATTTAGTTATACAACAGGAGGTTACTCTAGTAAAATTTTAAGATA